CCTAAGTTATTAGTTTATTACTATTAATATAATGTCCACGATAAACAGCAGGCAGCTGCACGCCTTACCGACGAGCAGAAAGAGCAACGTTTTTTTTTAAATGTAAACTCAAATTATGTAGCATTAATTAATTCTTGTAATAATAGTAATATTAGTATAATAATTGCGGTATTATGCGTATATGTTATTATACGAATATTTTATTTTATTTTTGAATTTTCTGTCAAAAATATTATGTTATTGACGATGACAGTGTAACAATCGTGAATATTCATGACAAATAATAATCACGAAAACCGATTTATTATTTATCGATTTTTGTCGAATTTATTTATACTTTAGTACAAAGCTGCATGTACAACTATGTTGTATATTATGTATCTATCGTGTTGGTTATTTTACAATAATTAAAAAAGTTAACAAAAAAAAACTACAATAAATATGAGTTTAAAAATATCACGGACATTATATTTTACTCCTGTTTTTTATGTTTTTAAATTTAAAATGGCCACCGTGAACTAGAGGAATATCATAAATAACAATTATAAAAGTTTAATCAAATGTTTACTGGATAAACCTGTAGGTACCTACTTTACAGTACAAAGCGCCTATCGTTTGAACTAATTAACAAAGGTACCCAGTTTTGATAAATTACTTAATACAAAATATGTGCTTTTTTAATGTAGACATAAAAATTTGACACTTACCGTGAACCATAATTGTTATACTATACAAGATATAAACTTAATACAAATTAATATATTTCAGCGAATATTAAGACCACTTTTGGTTCAAAAAATGAAAATATGTGCACTTACATGTGTCCCGAGTTTACAACACGTGTTCCTCACAATAACACTCTAATCAATCTAATATTTTAATGTTTTAACGAAATTGGTATCAAAACAAGTAGTTCTTAATAGTAATAATACCTCGTCCACCGATAGGTATGAAATTAGACTGTAAGCAAATACTCCTAATTTATTATCACAGAGTTAAGGCGCAAGTACTACCTACATAATATAGTGTACTTCAGTCAAAAATAAATAAACAGTGTATATTATACACATATATATTTATATATATATATAATGCGAGATATGTATAGTAAGATATATATGTATTTTTATATTTTTTAATAGACTGCTAATTCCCTAAGCATGATTAATGGGTAGTATGATTGTGAACTTATAGTATTAATTCCGTCAAAATCTACGCCAGTAAAAAAGTTATCTCGACAATAAAAAATCACGCTTTACCGGTACTTTTTTGTACAACAATGTAATAATAAATTGTGACATATTGTGTCATAATTTTAATTAACAAACACTCAATTTTAAATGGCACGTACCTAGGTATCGACTTGGCTTGTGTTAGAGTATAAAACGTTGTCCATCACGTAAGTAAACTTTCCACATTTTGTAAACATTTTTAAAAATCATTTTAAAGCATGAAGTAAATTATAATCTGTATAATATCGAAAACTATTTTTATCTGGTATTATTAGTTATGGAATAATATTATTGTGTTGAATTGAAATTAATGTCCTCGAAACAGTGCAGATACGTCACTAGGAGCTCGTATATTGAATTAATTTATATAGTCGATGGTTAATTAATACCGTTTAATACTTTAGTACGAAAAACGGTTCTAAGAGGAGACATAATTGTGTCACCTAGACCAAACCATAACATAGATACTTGTATTCAAGACCCTAGCCAAAAAAAATTTTTTTTTGGGGGGGGGGGGGTAAATATAAATGTGTTATATTGTATAATAAAATATGAAATTATAAAAATATGATTTAAATTAAGAACATGACATTTTTTGAAAAAAATGTCGGTAGGTTACCACGTACGTTATCTTATATTTCTACATTAATTATAGTTTATTATACTTTAGTAAACAAGTTAAATATATATAAATATATCAAAAAATTAAAAAATATTTAACATACTACAATACTACTATACTAATTTAATTTTCCTTGAAGTATTTGAAAATCTTTTTATAACTTCTTCAGTGTCAATTCAATATTTCTGTATACACTCATAGGGGCTAGTCCTACTAATCTGTCTTGGCCGGTTCTGTTTCTTAAAAACGTTTTTAGGAGCTTTAAAGTTGAAAACGTCCTTTTTGGTGTTGATTTTGATACGGGCAAAGTTTTCAACACATTTAATAAATAAGAAATTGAGGGAAAAAGAAACGCGTCAGAAAACATTTGATGGTCTATCTTTTTCCAAAATCTTGGTCCCTTTTGTTTGCAATGGTAAAAATTCTGCTTCAATAGCTAGTGAGTTTGGATTATCAATATAAAAATCAACACAAGGCCATCTATTACCAAAATAATTAAGATTAGATACCGTAGGCTATACATTAGGTTTTACGAAAGTACATTAAGATTAGTTATCGCTTATCCAACACAGTATGAATATAAAATACACCGTTTTATTTATTGTGTCTTGTAAGTTGATGTCACAGTGACACAGATGCATGTACGATGTACAAGTTTCAAATATAATAGGCATTTAAAAATATTCAATCTTATTTCAAAAAAAATGGGGGAGAAGGTGAATCCTACCCCCCCCCCTCCATTTTTTAATCTTCCAATGTAGATTTAGAAGTACGGTGAACCTACATTTTAATTTTGAATGCATGTTGGCATTCAAAGTGGTAAGGACATAAAACAATTTAAAAATGTATACTTCACTTTTTTGTTACTATTTGGCATTTCATCTTAATTATTTAGGAAAGTTGCAGTACTGGGAATCGTCAACGGTCAATCCCCCCTCCCTATAAAGAACCGACTATACATATAGATGCATTTTTCAACAAGTGAATGTTGACGCGGAGCAGTTTACATGACTTGAGCTTGTCGATCAACATCATCGACAATGTCGTTTATTTTTTTCTTTCCCATTATGGCGACGTTATTGAGTGTAAGTATACAGGAGTTACGGGAAACAATTTTCATTATCCCCTTCAACACGTTCTCGGAGTTAAAAATACATCCGATTTGCATTATTATAGTGTTGTCTGATACCAGTGTCGAACTGTTGGAGAGGACCCGTCTGCAGCATGGTACTTCGTAAATTATAAAGTTAGAATTGCATTTATTTTCGTTTTACCAACCTAGGTAATTGATAATTAGTGTATATTATATACTGTGATAACTAAACGCACGATAATAGAAAATTTAATTAAATGGAAATACATTTTTTGTACCCCTCCCATCACCACTAAAATTCTAGATTCATCACTATAAAATATATATATTTAAAGTTCCAACCGTAACCTTGGCTCATTGATCGTGTGATCGCTGACGGATCGCAATAATAATCTATTGCTTATTGCAGTCATTGATGTAAGGGGCCCTTCGTAGCCACATAAATCCTACCATAGACCCATCAGCGATCTTTTTTCAATATTCAGAACAATAAAAAATTATAATATAGTGCATGCTAAAAAGCAGCCACATCCTCCACCCTCGTAACAAAATTATTTGACTATCATACATGTTTCGTACACAAACAATCAGTTACATTTCATAGTTTTGAAAATGGATGGTACCTACACTCTGACGAGTTGATTAATTATTGATTTTATAGTAGATTAAAATATTTAACTGAACCAAAAATACGACAAAAGCTATCAAATTTTGTGTTTAAGCAAAGATCTAAAAATTGGATTTAATCAGAATACGATAATTCGCTCTTAGAAAATAACTAATAATGAATTTACTTCTAATAATTTTGCGATTCTTCAATGTATCTGAGACGGTAACATTGCACGCGTACTCTACACATCGGAACTTTCGCACACAATGCTGCAGGGTGAACTTATACAGTGAGTGGATAGTATAAAATGTAGGTCAAGAGGAGCACTTCTAAGAGTCCCAACCAGGGCCAGCAGATGTACTAAACCTGCACAATAGCCACATTGCCGGTCCGTCAACCCACTATGCCCACTATGCTTACACGTCTCGGCAAAGAAGTGAGCTGTATAGTGTAGGACCGTTAGATAACTACTGTAATACTGATACTAACTTATTGTACCTTGTTTTAGATGGGAGAACGAGTTACCGTCCGTTACCACCCCACGACATTCTCTGGCATTATTGTCACTCATGTGGAAAAGCTACGGGCAATATCGGAACAGTTGTTGCTGGAGGCTGTTGTCGGCAAACGGTCTGAAAGACGCAATGGGTGGTTGGTAAGCCAAACGCGCGGCTACTGCATCATTCGGCCGAATACGGGAAAGCCTAATCTCATGGGTCCTGTTCGATCGTGGGTTCGTCTAAGAATGTCGGTCAATTGGTTGGTGTTCAGGAAGAGGCCGCGAGGTTAAGGGCTAGACCTACAGGATCAGTGGTGAAGAGATACCAACGCCATGACGTCCAAGGTCACCGAGGTCGTTTCCTTGTAAGAGCAGCCACCAGTTCAACGGCTTGTGCATCATCCGGCCCATCAGCCATGCTTCGCAACCAGTCCTGCAGCCACGCCCGGCACAACAAGTGCAGCTGACCGTGGTGGAAAGGCGGGTCCAGAACATGGAGGTGACACCCATCGACCGGGTCACTAGAGTAGCCACACAGGCAGTCTCGGGTGCGGGAGCAGTAGAGGGGGCCTCGTTATATTTCCCAACACTTTATTTTCAGTTTAATTTAATAATTTTTTTTTTTTTTAAGCAAAAGCTCGAAAACTGAAAAGGCAAAACTCAATTAAATTAACTAGGTACTTACGCAGATAAATCACGAAATATTGCTTGAGGTGAAATTAAAACCTAAATATGTTTTCTCGTGTTTATGACGGCTTACATAGTATGATCGGTATAAAATGTTTTTCAACGTTCTATTTTTGTTATCGTTACCCCCGCTTTTTTTTGTTTTTAAAACGCGAATTAAGTGGCAAAATGATACTCACGAAATAACAATATACACATAATAATATGATTAATTCACAACAAACGATTATTGGCAATGAATAATGATCGTGCTTCTCGCCTAGCACATCATTAGCCGAGAATGAGTTGACAGACACAGTTGTATGTCGTGGACAAATAATTATTACATCGTGGCTGCGTTTCTTTTTTTTTTTGTTAAGTACACTGATTTTTGATGATGTTGAAATTCAAACTCAATTACCATCTAAAGCTTGTGAGTAAGACGAGAAAATATAACATATTTGTGTAATATGCTTCCTACACATAGAATATTACCATCGTTGAATAATTTTCATTTCAATTTTAGGCATTTTGCGCCTGTTTAATGTCATGCCACCCGTTCATTGTCGGATGTTCTTTCGTATTCTCTTCTATTCTTTTGTCCAAACTAAAAGAACCTACGTCTACGATAAGAATAAATATTGAAGATTCCTCATGGATAGGTAAATGTATTTGTCATTATTATGTTCTATACAAATATAATTTCTACATTGGTATATTGGTATACCAGAAATAAAAGCTTGTACGGTCTGTGTAATTGCACGGTTCGCGTCCAATTTCAATTTTTCAAAAACCGTGTCAACGCATTATTATTTGAGTATTTAAAATCTTTATTTATTGAAATTGAGAATGTCATGAATTTTTAACTACAAATGAATTTGCAAATTTTCATGATATCAACAATCGCCATCAAATTATTAAATTTAAACGCTTACAAAGAAAAGATTTCGTTTATGTGTTTTTTTTTAATTGACACGAGTGAAAATTATGGGGAACCTTACATATAAAAATCCTCGAGTTTTTAACTTATAATATAATTAATTATAGCAAAATTATTTATGTTATCGTCATAAATAAAAAAATAAAAAGTAAGTCGACAATTTTAAATGTTCAAAAAGAAATGTTGAAAATCATACAATATCTACAAAACTACAGTATAAATATTTGGTAAAAACTTCAAATATTTTTAGGTCATTAAATTTTGAATAACAACAAAATCACTAAATCTTTATATTCGAAATCTTTGGTTATTTTCTAGTGCATTGAGACTTTCATACTTTCGGTAGTTTTGCTTCAGATCATAATATTATGTAGTTTTAATTGAATATTTACTTTTTACAAAATAAATTTTTTTTTTTAATGTACATTTTTTTCAAATTTTTGTTTCCTTAAAATACTATAATAATCGATCAAAAATAATAACAAATCATATGGTAGCAATCATAGTAGGCACTAAATATTATATTCCAGGAGTTGTGACTTGACATCGACACAAATGTGTTTGAAAAACATGTCATTATATTTCGCTGTTATTATAATAAAATTCTTTAACTCTTAAAATTATAGCGAATCAAAATATTTTTGTTTGTATGCAAGAACAGAATTTTATTTACCCTCCGTCAGGGTATTTTGAATTATTTGTGTGAGTACAAAAAAAATTACGAACAGTTAATTCTTTAATTGCAATAATAAATTATGTACATAAAAACAAGATGAAAGCATCGTGTACAACATAGATACAGTCTCCTACATAATAATGATAGGAAAAAAAGTTTGCGAGTCACAACAAGGACCGCAATTGAGGATATACATTTAAACTTTGCTATTACTTTCTAATTGATTATGCCTATAAGAAATGGAACAATTGGTTTAAAATAAAAATTGTACCGTCCTACTTAACTAGAGCATTAAACCGTTCTAAACAGACTACCGTAATATGCACATTTTATTTTAGCGATGAAAATATGAACAGTAAACAAAACTTAACTTTACATAGGCAATTAATGCATTTTTTAAAAATATATTTGCATTAAAATACATCTTATGGTTTGAAAATAAGAAGCTTTTTAAGAGGTTGGAATACTTTTGGAATAAATTATTTATTTTTATTATTTTACTTTAAAATCTCGATCATAATTATTAAGAAGAACGAATTAATTCCTATGAATACAATAATATAACTCATGTGATTCTATGTTTTGTCCATAATTTATTGAACGTTGTGGTTTCGTGAACATAAAATATTTTAATTTGATGACAGCGTTTAGTAAAGACTAAACACGGGGTACTTTACCTACCTATATTTCTTACCCAAACTACCACGGCAAGTTTAATATAGTAAATTTTTAATCTGCGACTCCACCACAAGAACAAATTACGACCATTGCAATTCACCGTCGGCGCAATTTTTAGAGATCAATAAAAACAAATAAAATACACTTAGCTTGATAACTAGAATAAACATCAAAGTGTGCAAGCCATAGAACGGTTAGTATTGCGTCTGATTGAAGTTATATTATTTTTCGTCATATAGTCTTGATTAAGAGAATAATAAAACGGTCCAAATTATTAAGTCTAATTATAACAACCGAGTGTTTGATGTTTGTTAGTAAAAAAATGTGCGTGCTGAGCAATTTGAAAGTAATGAGTCCTTGAACAGCAGTATACAAACAATTAACACGAAATATTCAGTTTTTATTGGTTTTAATATTATTATTACCTACGTAAAATCACAATAACTATATTATATTTCTCATATTTTACTAATTTTTTACTGAAAATGTTTGAAAAATATCGATCGGTTTTCTATTTAAATTAGTCTTTGATAAATTAATTAGTTTCGAAAATTTTAATTAAACACTCAGTACTATAATAATAGTATATACTTTATATTATATCTAACTACTACTACGTCAATATTATTAACAGTGGGTGTTTTTAGGTTCTATTAGCTAATTAGAATTTATTTAGGACTGATAATATTTACTTTTTTTTCAAATGAGTTTCAATCAAAACTGTTCTTTCGAACATTTATAACTACTATATACAACTGTAATCTTTGAGCATACCTACTGTATATTATTATATATATTTAATTTTTTCAGCGAGTATACCAATACTGGTATGCCCTGTCGGTTTACTTATAGTTGGAATACTAACAGATAAACTTGGCCGAAGAAAAGCTCTTCAATTTGGTTATACACCACTAATTATAAGTTGGCTGATACTCGCATATGCCAATTCTCTAAAAGCCATTATTATCGGAAGAATTATTCTGGGAATTGGACTTGGTAAGTAACCCGAATTAATATATTAATATATTATTGTGCTTTATTCAAATGTTCGTAATACACAAAGCTCGAAAGTTGTACAAACTACAAAAGGAAAATATGCACAAGAAATTGTAAAATATTCATGACAAAACGTCAAATATGCAAACAAATTTAATAAATATTCATCAAAATTCATAAACAAACCATTTTATATTGTTCATAATTTACAATAAAAAAAAAATGCAAAATATGTAAAAAAAATGTATGATATTTCAAATATTCTGGCAAACTTTTTGAATTTGTACATTTTATCAGACTAAAACAATAGTTCAAAAAATATACTCGATAGTCCATCAGAATATTAGTGTGATAGAGATTAAATGCACTTCCCACTGCTGTCGTTAAATCAGTAGTTTAATAATAACAAATTACATTAAACAATATTGGTTTTTATGTTAAATTATTATAATTGAAACAAACAGCTTAAGAGAGGAAATTATCAAATTTTTTAGGAAATATATTATGCATAATATGCTTATGAAAATCAAGAAATGTGCCTTAAATTAATTCCCCTTAATATGGACTAAATATCCAAAATAAAATTAGGCTAGATTTTAAATTTTCGAGTTTTGAACTCACCACTACGAAGCTCAGATTTTTAGCTTTGCTGTAAATCGAGAGCATATATAGATAAATATGCAACTACTTCTACTTTCATGCCAAAGTAATAAATAGAAAACACGAGTGGAAAACTTGCCTCAGTAAAATACAAGTGCAAACCTTATATAAATTCGAGGCCTGAAATAAATTTCAAAATCGATTTTTAATGTTGAAAAAAATCGTTAAAAATACAAAATCTCAATAATTTGAAAATTTGAACTATAGTAAATATAAATATTCTAAAAAAATGAGTTTTTGAAGAACTCCATTATTGAAAAAGCAAGACGTGGTCCTGATGGTATACCGGTGAATACTATTAACATAAAAGAAAAAACTCGCACATCAACTTAAAGTCCAGTTAATAAAGTAGGTAAAATTATGACTTCAAAATCAAAATTCAAACGAGCCGTTTAAGTTGTTCAACTTTGTGTGATAACGGTCTCGGAACATAATATAGGGACTACAGTGATTTAAAAATTATCATTGTAATTAATATATTAAGCAATTAACGTTTATAATTTGTAAAAACGGCACAAGTACAGTGAAATAAATACCATATGGTATTATATATATATATGGTATATAAATACTATATTGCACGTATTTTATATTTTTATAAAATCATTTTTAAAGACTTTCATACTGATAATTAACATTTTAATATACGAGAAATAACTAATTCGATTTTGAACTAGGTAGGTACATTGAAGTTTTCAAAAAAAAAGATCCGCTATAGTTAATCAATTATATTTTATATCTAAATGGGGGTTTTCTTTCATCAGAAGTTTGTATACAACCACGCGATACGCTTTAAATAGGTAGTAAAAAAATCTAAACGTATTAATTGAGTGTTCTTAAAAATATATTTTGAAAATTTCAAAAATCAATATTTGAATTGATTCATAACTAAAACCCAAAACGGGGGTGAGCATGATTGGTGAATCGGCCAGTATAAAATGACGTGTTATTAAATTATAATATTACTCGAACTCCGGGGTAGGCGTGTCTTCTGGTTCGGCTATATTATACTGACGATATTCGATTAACCGCACTACGGGACACGTCGGTCATAAAATAAAAAATAAGCATGATATGATAATAATATTATAATTTCATGCCGAAATGTTATAGACAGTTATTAACGTTGGGACATATTATATTGACGTGTGAACGCACACGATGAAAATCATTTACGCGTTTCGGACGACATATTTCGCTAAATAATAAATGAAAAATGAAGCAATTCTCAAAGTTTGAAATATCAAAATATCATTATTACATCAATGTTTTTTTCCCTTAAATCGACGCGAGATGTCGCAGAGAAAAAACCGTAGTATGGTCTGGTATAATTTACGGATAAAAATAAATAAATGTGCTAAAACAATTATAAATGTAATACCTGTAGGTAGGTAATACATGTTATTGAAACAATTATTTCCAATAAACAATATTACTAATGAGTAACGAGAACTAGATATGGGTAATAATTGAGTAGTCATACCTAGTTAAACGCCTACTTATACGTTCAACATTGAATGCGTACATCAAATTGTACATGTTTTTCTACAACATTATCGGTACGATTACACGGGGTAAGCGGGGGAAATATATTTTGTAACTATGTGATAAGTAAAAAAAAAATTTCCAATCAACTTGTTGCCATACCTAGTTTTTGATTTTAAGACGCCGTGTGCCAATTATCATATAGCGTATACACCACGTATTCCAACGGCAGAAAATTCAAATCTTAAATAAAGAACAACGAAATTGATACATTTAACATATAGGTGCCTGCATTTGAATAAAGAAATGTTTTTTTTAAATCAAATTATCGCATAAAGAACATTTATTTCACGTTATTCTCCCGTCGAATGACAGGTATGTCGACTGTCGATGTTATTATGAGTCACGAACATTATTCAACAATATTATTTCATGAAAATATTATGATAACAGTATTATCATCACATTTTTTTTTATCATCCAAGTTACTGCAGTTAGCAATGTAAGTCACAAAATTAATTCTAAGATTTGTCCGTAAAATCAAACAATTGTTAGGTTTAGGTTTCGATTTTTGTGAATCTGTTAACCGGCTAAAGTTTATAGTTATAAATCATTTTTTTTTTTAAGCTCGTAGTTGAGGTAAGAGTTATATGACAATTTGCAGTGAACTTGTTAAATTTGAGTTGAGAAAAAATATATAAATATATGTATTTTGGAACACATAAATGTAGCTAGTAATATGGTTTTATGGTAAAAACAACTAAACGGTTAACGTTAGCGCAATATGCTTCTTCGACAACAATATAATATTATTTTATCATTTAATTATTTAATTATTTGTGTATTAACTGAACACGTGGATTCGACTTAAAGTAATAAACCGTCATTTATTTGAGTTTATTCGGATAAAAATCGGTCGGTAAAGGTAAAAACCGAGTTGAAAAATATGAAAATTAACCGAACTCGACCTTGACGTTTTCGACTCGTTTATGCCCAGGCCCCGTGCCCTCGGCTGGTCTTGACCTTTTTTTTTGCATTTCAACGATTTCTTTCATTTCGCAGGGTCCGGGACTTGCGTGTTCTTGTACTTGGCCGAGGTGTGCCCCTCCCAGCACCGGCCGCTGTACTTCTCGGTGGTCACCATGTTCGTGGGCATGGGCATGATGACCGAGTGCGTGCTGTCCATGTTCTTCGACTGGCAGACCGTGTCGCTGATACTGTTCGCGGTCAGCACCGTGAACTGCGCGTCCCTGTTCCTGGTGCCGGAGACGCCCATGTGGCTCCGGAACCGCGGCCGCACCGGCGAAGCGGAAGAGGCCGAGGCGTGGCTGGGCATCGAACCGGCCGCGGCCACCGTCCCGGCGCCGGACACCGCGCTGGCGGTCAACGGCGACGATCGCCTGTGCGGCGCGGAAGAGGGCAGACCGGACAAGGCCGCGTACTGGACGCTGTTCGCCGGCCCCGCCGTCTGGAAACCGGCCCTGATCACCACGCTGTTCTTCGTCTGCCAGCAGGGCAGCGGGTTCTACGTGCTGCTGTTCTACTCGGTGGACGTGCTGCGCGACTGCCGCGTCCAGTGGGACGGCGTCACCCTCACCGCGTTCCTGTCCCTGGCCCGCGTCAACGGCAGCGTCGTGTACTCCATGTGCAGCAACGTCCGCCGGAAGACGCTGGTAGTAGTGTCCGGCGGCGGCATGGGCCTGTCGCTGGCCACCATCATCGTTTACATGCGCATTTACAAGGACGAGGCCACGCCGCCCTACGGCTTCGTACTGATCGTCGCGTTCATCGCGTACGTGTTCTTCGCCCTGCTGGCCATGCTCCCGTTGCCCTGGGCCATTTGCGGAGAGGTGTTTCCGATGGCCGTCAAAGGTGTCGTAAATGATATTGTGATCTTCTATACATACAGTGGTTCCCAACCTGTGCAGTGTGCGTCGAGGCTCTCGGGGGCGTCGCCGATAATTGAGCGGTGACATTTCAAAACGTACTATTTCCATTTCACAGTTTTTTCAGAAAACACGATTTTCTGTTCCGCATTACTAGAAACTCGTGGAAATATCGTAAAACATCATAAAATTCATAAAAATTCAGTTATTTTAGTTATGATGTCATTTATTGTTAAAATTTTAATTTTAATGTAGTTATTCATAATTTTAATTACTAAATTGCATCATAACGTCCTGTTTCCAAAAAATTGTACGTTTTGGTCTGATTTATGGAAATAGTTACCTCCTGTATTGCTCGATGCACAAGGCATTTAGTTCTTGATTTATACATTATATAAATATTATATTATACTATTATAAAGTATAAGGCCGTGGTTTGAGGTTTTTGAGATGAATAAAATCAATATGATAGGTGTTATCACTGACCATCAACACTTTTGGCGCAATTTACTATCAATAATCACAATGCTTGGTGTATGATGATAATGTTTTAAGATGTAGAAATAAATAAATAAACCATTCAAATGAATTTGCACAGTTAATTTATATAAATGAATTAATTACAAAAAATATTTTATGTATTTTCAAACAACTGGAAATAATACGTTTTGTGTTTACTTCAATTTCGTTTCCTATCTTTATAACATAGAACATAGTAGATTTTGAAGTAATATGGCAATAGTTCGTTTTGTAAAAATATTAGGAATTAGTACGTTTTGCTGCATATTTCTAAACCAAACTCCTATTTAACAAAGGAAATAGAACGTTTTGATGCAATTTGTAAATAGTTCGTTTTGACCTAATGTTTGACATGGAAATAGTACGTTGTGCCAAAATAACAGATTAACAACTTCAATTTAACAAGGGAAATAGTACGTTTTGGTTCAATTTGACCACTCCATTCGATTTCCCGCCTTTTTTCCATAAGCATCAATATATAACTCAATTTTTTAAATTTTGGAAATTGTACGTTTTGAAATGTCGCTCCTCACTATCGAGGGATCGGCAGTAGAGTCTAAAAATAAAATCGTAATACAATATAAAAAATAGTTTTTGCCATCTTTTTTTCTGAGGCCGTCAGGCCCGCGAGCCAATTCACGGTGGTGAGCACGTGTGTGTGAGACAGATCGACCGGCGTAAAAAGTGAATTAGGTCTATTTCTGTGTTTGCGATTTCGATTTGCACTATTGCTAAACGATAGTGGTTCACCACCTGCAAGTTCAGGATGGGCAGTCAATTTCCTCTTCCACGCGAAATCCGTACAAAAACCAGACGCACTCCCCACGCCCTGCGATCCCGTCTTTTCCAGCTCACATTATTTTAGTCAGTGGTGAGAGCGAGTGTGTATCAATCCACATCCAACTATCTAAGTCCATCGCACAAATCGCATTAAAATACCAAATATCAGAGTTATTGTAGATTATAGAATATTAGCCGCAGATGTGCATCAAAAAGTGTTTAAAATTATGATAGTACTGGGTTGAATGAATCACAAGATATATTTGTAAAGAGCCCCAGTAGACGGTGGACGATTTAAGTCCAACGATTTATTTTTTTTTCGTCTAAAAATATCTAGTTAGATTCATCATCAGACGGCCAAGTTTATAATTTTCTTAAATTTTTTCGAATCATGAACTTGATTGTTTTTGTTTTTTTTTTAGGAGTAATGGGCGGAATCGTACAAGTGATTGGATACGAATTAATGTTTTTAGTCATCAAAGTGTATCCTGGGTGTGTGTCGACATTCGGAGTGGAATTTGTTTGGTCAGTTTTCACAATATTCTGTTTTGCAAGTGCATTGTTCGGTGCGTTCATAATGCCAGAAACAAAAGGAAAATCTCTCAACGAAATATTATCGTCGTTCGAATCCCGCGAAAAATCGATAAAAAATAACTCGCCTTAATAATATCGTATACTGTAATCATAATTATTGTTTTTATTTTTATGAAACATAATACAGTATTGCAATTTCGTTTATTGGAATTTTAAGTATAATATTCTTCAATGTGCATTGCGGTGCTATAGTTTATATTGTAATTTATTTGATGATAGGTACCTCGTAGGTATAGATAAGAATTAAATGTGATATACTAAAAAATCTGTTTGTGCGTAATTTATTTTACATATAATAATTATTTACAGACCAGAAGGCCAGTCTAAAACTGCTGTCCGCTAAGTGCGAATCGAAAACATAAAATGAGCAGGGGCATAAACTCACAACTCGCCTTTGGCAGGGATTGGAATCAAAAAGTTCTATACAAAAAAAAATGAATAAAAAAATTTTAAGAATTATTTTTGCTTATACATCATATTTGTTTATATTTTGTTACTTTTTCAAAAACCCTTTTGTTTATTTCAGTCTGTCGCCATATTCGAGGATATAAATAAGGTTGTCATTTTCAAAAATAGATTGAAAACCAGTTACGTATACGTTATTGTTACAGTTACGTATTGTATATATACAATACATATTACTATGAGCAATTTATTATGCGCATATTAAAACTATTTATTTCTATAGTAGCACATAAAAAATATGCAAATACCATAATTTCAGTGATCACTCAGGTTAAAATAAAATTGATAATAATTTGTAAATGTTCCTATTTGTTCTACTTTTTTAGTTCTTACCAAAAGTTCATAATATGCCATTATTGAAGTATTATTGTTTGTAAAAAATACTATATATTATTTTGAATACATTTCAGTAAATTTGGATACAACAAATCTAGGCGATACTGGTTGTAAATAACTATTTCAAATTTACCCTTAACTAACTAAAAAGCGGGGAAGTGGGTTACGCTTTGCTGTACCTACATTAGGTGTCTGGAGGTCAGTGTGATGGGTGTGTTGAATTTGAATTTGGTGATTCAATTCTTTGTGTACGAAAAACGATTCTGAGCGAAGACGGCCTGTAAACCTTTAAAATTACCAATTATTAATATAGTGATTATATTATTGTGAATCAAGTACTAGTATTTATTTTACTATTAGGTATACGTGTTAGAGTTGGTTAAATTCATTTTTTCCAAAAAAATTACACTTCAAAATATCCTTGTGGGTATAAAATATAATACCTATAATATATTTACTCTTAAAGTTCCTACATCCACAAACAATAAATATTTTTATACTACAACGAAATAACTAAAATCGTTTTTCTTGTTATTCTTGTAATTAATATGTAATTTAGTCCAAGTATTGACATAAAATGTTTGTAAAAAAAAACTTTGGTTCCCCATTTTTTTAATTTACAGTAAGAAATATTTACGAGAATAGTTGTCTTAAATTTTCAATCTTTAGGTATAAAAATTTATAATTTAATAATTTTTTAACTACAATATTCGTCAATTTTTATCAATTTCTAAACGTTCAAAAAAATACTATTATGGACTTAAACTCAACTTTTTTTTTAATTTACTCAAACGAAAACTTATGAGGAACGTTGTATTACATTTTCAATTTTTTTGATCGAGAGAAAAATTTTGTTTTGTCAATAATTAAAAAAGATTTGATAAAACTAAAATTGTTTTGATGCCTATAAATAGCTTAAACAGAGATGCAATATTTCCAAAAATGGTATGGTGCGTGTGCAAAAAGCATGTATATTATATATTATGCAATATTGCTTTTATAATCATTCAGTGAAAATTTCATATAAATATGGATTTTTTTTTATTAGAGTTACACTAAAAAATAAAATCAATATTTTCTATCACTGGATTCGCATACATATTTTCTTTAATCGTTTGTTTGTTTTTCCTGTCACTTTTGAAAACTATTGGAATTTTACTAGATTCACCTAGTAGAAAAAAATATTCTAAATCGAAGCATTCTTACTGCCACCAAAATGTGATGAAAGACGGAAGTAAAAGAACACACATCATTGTGAAATCGATGAGCTCAGAATCTAAAACAATCATAAACGACGGAGTGTTCCATCAGTAGTGAACTACAAAGTATTTTTCCCCAAACCACAAACACCATCTGTCACTTGTATCAAATGCGAATTCGATACATCGTTGCGGTATTTGCAAAGCGAAATTCATGAACTGCAGTTATATACGATCATAATATTTTGTGTTTTAATAGATGTTAAAACTTCAGATACAACATAATTTTGGTTTTCGCCAAATTTACAGTCGACATACTCTTTTTAGAACAGCTGAGAAAGTAGACGGAGTGCGTATATACTTAAGAGGATCGAGGAGGGAATACAAAATATCGACTTTAATTAATTGTCTATAATTGCTAATCGTTGACAAATATTTAATTTAGTACCTACAGTAGAGCCTCGATAGTCCGGACTCCCGATAATGTGGCGAACGCGGTAATCTGGACGTCAAAATTCCAGGTTAGGTTATGAAAATTAAAAGTATTGTTCAGAAAAAAATTACCGATAACTATACTTCAGTTCTACATACATATTATTATAAACATTTTTTTTTTGTAATTCATTAGTTTAGTTTTAATTTAATTTAATTATTATTCTTGTAATTTAAAATGCAATAAATATAAAGATGGTGAAATTAAAGTTAAATCTTAATCATTTGAGTAGGTAGTTTTGAAAAACCTCCGGTAATCCGGAAAATCGATAATCCGGACGATGCACGGTCTGAATTCGTCCGGACTATCGAGGCTCTACTGTATTTATTAAGTTTTGATAGATTTAGTATTGAAGAATATACCAGGCACATCGCACACGGAATGAAGTACTCGTACATGCGTAGGTGCTGTGAAATTTTTACAATTTTTGTGAATGATTGTGTTAGACGTGACTAAATCAACGAAGTCCGGTAGGCCACCATTCTTAAGAAAATGGTTATAATCGTCGTTAAAAACATCACAATATTTTGACTATTAAAAATTAAAACTAGCGATTTACAGATTATTGACTGTCACACTTGGTGAATTTGCTTTGGTAAACTGAGGCGCAGAATACACGTTAATGTGAATCATTGTCAACTCAATGGTTAGCCAGTTAGTTGAGTTTGAATGACCAAGTAGAGGCTATCAGACAACATTAATCTCTTCATTTTTAAGTAACGTTAATATTTCAATTTACTATTAGCATAATATCCTAAATTATAGCCAAACTATAATTATTCAATTTTTTTCCAATTCGTACTCCTGTGATCTTAAATATACCACTCTTCGGAACGGAGTTACTCAGGTGCAGTGGCTTGGCGAACTGAAAATATTCCAGAGGCAAGAAACAAAAAGCCCGAAGACCCGCCCACCCCCCTACTGTAAACCCAAATAGAGGTGGGGAGGGGTGGCTTAATAAAATACTGTTTGAATTTGTATCAACTTGAATTACAATAATAATATAGTGCTCGAATATTTATTTAGTATCTTATACCGGAAAACCGAAGTCACGTCAGTGATGTACCCGAATTGCCTACTCAAAACGCCGTGCGGTGTACAAAGGATATAAGTGGTGCGTAACCTTTAAATACATATTAAATTAATTTATCTTTACTAACCTATTATATAAATAATAATTATATCTAATTTGTTTTTGGTTTTTTTTTTTTTTGGGTTTTTTTTTTTTTTTTAAGCTTCAAATTAAAATATTGTCTATTGTCTATTACTTTTACACTTGATTTCAATTTTTACTTCAGTCGCTGAACTGGATTTGATCATTCATTATCTAGTATCGATTCCATGTATCCGGATAAATCTGATCTCGTGATTTGACCAAACAATATTGTGACCTGAACATTTTTTTGGAAAGAGGAACTGAAGCACATTCATATTATATTTTCCAAAAAAGTAACCCTTTGCTTCCATCCTCATTCATTACCTTTTTTCATTAAACAAAAAAATTATTTTTGCCCTAGTATAATTTTTATTTTATTATTACTACCTAAATGAAAGTGTTCACTTTTTTACTAATTGAACAAGTTTTTAAAAAGGTACATTTTATACTTTTTAAATTGACTGAATAGGGTCTGTAATTTGAGTTATATATAATAGTCGAATATACAATTTAACAACAGAACATAAATACACTTTGCAAAACACTAAACAAGTAAAAATTACAAAATGTCAAAGGACATGTTTTGATTCGTCTCATTAAGTTTTAAGATATATTATATTAATACAAGTCATAGATTATCGATTTTAAATAACTAGTAAATCGACAACCATAGAAAAAAATTATTAAAAAAACAATAAAAACGTTTGTATGGGAGGGAAGACGAGTTCCCTATTTGATTTATACCTGTTTTTATTTCAAATACTTTATAGTATATAATATGTTACAGTTAAAGTGTTGAATCAGTTTGCTTATGAAATAACTGGGTAATTTATAAAATAACTAAGGCTTGTAGGTGATGTCAATAATTTATACTTTAACTAGTTATTTTATGCATTCCCTGGCATCACTTCGTCAATGGGTCAAATTGTAAATAACAAAATATCATGATAAATAAAGATAGTTCTAACATTTTCAACAATTTAATATAACATACTAAATCAAATAAGATCGATATATGTTTTGTCGGTGACCGCAATGTACGTTTATCGTGTTATTATAAGATTTTCGTTGTTGGTATTCGGTTCATGTATTAGACAGGCTTAAAGTTTAGAAATAGTTTTACAGTTACGCGTGTTCGCTGTTGGTCCGTCTGTCTCTACACTATTATTTTAAGTATTAACTATATTGTTCACAATGAATTCAAATTCGACTAAACGAAAGAAAAGTTTTTGATAAGCGTTAAAAATCGTTCATTAAAACCAAATAGTACAGTTATAACAAAAGAAAAATATGCAAGTTTGATGATAGACGTGAAAAATATGAAAATAAAAAAGGAATATTTTCGTGACTATTGGTTAGAAAGACATTACAATATTGTAAAAATAATGGCATTGAAAAATTAATGCTAAACGTAAGTAATCAAAATGAAAATGTTAAATTACATGTTATTACTGAAGAGATATTTGATTATTTACATGAAATTCATATTTCTATCGGACAAGGGGGGTAGAGATCGCGTGTTATATGAAATACATAAACGTTATAAAAATACGGAATTCAACACTTTAGCTGTAACACGTATGTATATTGATTGTGACAATCGATGGTGTTATAATTTATAAATTTAGGCCTCAGATTTATATGTAAAACATATTATTTTTACTGTGGTTCAGTAATTTAATTTGGTCGATTGGTGATAAATTCGTTTCATATGATTTTAATAAAATGAACCATATTTTAAATGACATCACGCGTTTTGTCATATAAACACATTATTTCCAATTTCTCAATAATTTTATTTTTTCCTACATATCTATTTA